CTGCTGAACTTGTATTTGTTTTGATCTGATTTTTTTTCCTCAGTAATTGGCAAGTTATACTAGGACCTGGAGTTGGCAGGGTTTTTTTTTTAATTGCTTTTATAGACCTATGAATAAAATAAATCATATCATAGAGAGGAAACTTCTAAGGTCTAGTTTAGTACAAATGTGAAGGCCAGTGTCAAAGAACATGGTTGTGAAGAAGCGTTTGTGTGTTTCGAAGGGTCTAGGGGCTGAGTGCCTGAAGCACAGATGATTTTTTGGCATAGTTTGACCATGATATAAGAAAGATTATGTACATAAATGATTTTATGGGGGAAAATACCAGACATGAATTATTTTCAGTTTATAGGGGGTGTTTTATGTGATACTTATTGTAACTAAGAGAAAAAGATACCCAATAAAATAAATTACATTTCACTACAGAAAATGAAAAGGACCTTATTTGGAGCAATCATCCTCTTCAAAGGGAAGACAGTTATGGAGAACGGTATTGTTCCTTAATGCTGCTCAAGGAACCTTACATTACTCAGAACCAATGTGATAGTCTGATGTTCAACTGCTTTGTAAAACAGTTCCAGCTGCCAGATCTCTAACTAATAATATCCAATAGAAAAAAGACCTTTCAAGACATTATCCCAACTGATGTGTAACATGTTATGATAACAGGTATTGCTGTATTTTAATTTCCTGGAAACTTTCAGCTGCTGCTATGTAAATTTAGCAATGTGATAATTAAAAAGCCACTTAAAGGGAAGTTGCCATTTTCCCATTTCAACCATGTTCAGTTTCATTCTACTTATTTCTTTTATTGGTTTCTAATCCATTCACAAACTCTGGCACACATACCAACACATACACGCAGAATCAAATAAAGACCTTCTATTAATACTTATACATAATTAGAGCCGTATCCTGGAGACCTTACCTAGTATCTCCAAAGTTCTTACTGAAGCCAAACGGATTTGATTTCATTAGAGAGCAAGGACTCAAACACTGTTGTCATGTAATCTATCAAAATCAACAGAAAGTTTCTACTTAATTTAATGACTACTGGATCAGGCCCTTCTACAGATGATCACATACATGCTGAAGCTGATGATGAACATAAATAAGGTAGAGGATTTACCTGTTTGATACTAAACTAGTTCAGTTATTGGAGATATATCATGTGTGATAAAATGTGTTGGAGAGGAATGATCAGTTAAGGCACTGACCAGGCACTTAGAGGCTTTGCTTTAATTCTCTGTTTTGTCACAAACTTCTTGTGTGAGGTTGGGAAAATTATTCTCTGTGCCTGAGTTAGTTATGTATCTGTAAAATGGCACAGTGCTTGCCACACTTTTCAGAAGCACTGTAATAAGTGCATTCTGGATTGCAAGACTGTTTTAGAGAGACCTATAAGTATCATTGATACAGCCTAACTGAATTTCTACCTAAAAAGTAACTGGAATAATTGTGAGGATTCTTGTCACAATTCTGTCCTAGTCTAATACTTTCTCAGTGGCAGTTTAAATGGATAAGTAGTGGTATGAAATATCTAGGGATTTGCTTTACTAGAGCCTAAACATGAAATATATTAGACTGCACCCTTGTACAATCTGTGTGCAATGACAAAATAAATTGGAACAAGATGCAGTATACTGTGTGGGATCGAATACAAATCATTAGAATGATTACTATCCTTAGGTTTAATTATGTTTTCAGCATTCCATCCTTCCAGATGCCTAATGGGCTCAAAAAACATGTGCAAGCTCTAATTTTTAAAAATTATATAAGAAAATTGATAAAGAAGAAGATGATAATGATGATGAAAATTCTACAGCTAAAAAATTCTACAGGGGGTTTAAATTGCCCTGATTTGAATCTGCATTATTTGGCAAATAGCCTGGTATGCCATTGTACAGAGGCCTGTACTCTTAGTTGTCCATGGTCATAAAAGTCCCATTCAGGTTGTTACATAACATTGTTTATAAGAGTCAGAAAACATTAGAAACTAATAACCTGGTATAAACTGGGGCATTTTTCCTAAAGAACTTCAATAAGTGGTCCTCAGGA